CAAAAAAAAAAAAAAAAAAAAAATTTTCTATCTACTTCTTTTTTATATATAAAATTAGATCAACATAGTGCTAAAGTACAAGGAAATTCTTAGAATATCCAAATTACAAAAAGATTATATTTTCAATGTTCATAAAATCTTACCATTTGTTGATTATCAATATTATTTATGAAATCAGTGGTACAAATATCAGTTCCTCAGATTATATTACAAAAATACACAGAAATGATAATGGAGTGAAAATATTTCTACATTGTTAAATGTTGACAGTTCTTTTAAAAAGTATTAAGTGAGCCAGGCGGTGGTGGCGGCGCACGCCTTTAATCAAGCACTCTGGAGGCAGAGCCAGGTGGATCTCTATGAGTTCAAGGCCAGCCTGGTCTACAGAGTGAGATCCATGACAGGCACCAAAACCAAAACTACACAGAGAAAACCTGTCTCGAAAAACCAAAAAAAAAAAAAGTATTAAGGGAACCATTTAGATTTAGTTGTAAATATATGCTATCTATATTGTCTGTTATGGTTTGAATATAGAATATCCTAACACAGGCTTATACACTCATTGTGTGGTCCCAAGCCGGTGGTATTATTTTGGAAATGGATGCAAGCTTTAGAAGGCTGGTTCTATCTGAAAAACATAAGATTACTGTCCAAGTGCATTTGAAGATGACACCTTGTCAACATCACTTTCTGTTCTCTACTTCCTGCTTATCATGAGGTCACTTTCCTATGCCATAGATTCCCATTACTACAGAGTCTGTTCTCTAGATCAGAAGGTAAAATTCAGGAATATGAACTATGATGTCTGATGCTCTGAGCAAACCAACCTTTCTTCTTTTAATTTGTTCTCTCAGATATTTTGTCATAGAATGAGAATGTCTAATATATTATTCATGCACTGAACTTCTTGAATTTCTCCTTGAAAAAAATAATGCAGCTTAGTCCATTTTCTTTTATTAACACCCAAATTCTATAAATATAATAAGTCTTATAGGTTTTTTTTTCTTTTAGCTCAGTTTTCAAAGCTCAAGAACATCAACTCAGATCTTTTTGAGGACTTCTCAGCAGATGATATGAGATGACAAAAATGATCACATCTCTAGACAAGAAGCTGCATGGGAGATTTGGAGGGCAAGCTCAAATTGTCTAGAGATTTCTTCTCAAGAGAAATTTGAGTTTTGAGAAAGAGTAACTTAATCATTATAGGTATTTTATCCATAGTGATTGGAACACTTTATACTGGACCCCAGCTCTTACAGGTACCATGACCTCCACACCTCATCAAAGAGCACACCTCCAGCACATGAGGTCTTGAGGGATGAATCATGTCCAAGCTACAATACCAAGTTCATTAAAACTAATAAAATATAATTAATAACTAAGTCTAAGAGGGTAGATAAATGGTCTCCCAAATCTCAAACATAGTCATTAATATCAAAACTTAATAGTTTGATACCATGATGTAAATAAACGTGTGACTGCTAATATTCAAAACACTTTCTTCTGGCTTTATTTAAATGGTGAAAAGTGGATCATTTAAGTGAAACAGATCTCTGATGAGAAATTCAAGCAGTATAGGAAGTGAAACAGGGATTTTCTGAATTGTAGGAGGAATTTTCAAAAACAGCTAGACTTCATCTTTGGCTTCCCTTACTCCCGACCTTTTATGTGTGTGCATCATGGAAATGTGTACAAATCACTTTCCCAAGACAGGAAAGACCGTATTTATTTTTTAAAAATTGTTTTACACATTTATTTGGGGGGTATAGATTACACCATGACACATATTTACAGGTCTGAGGACAACATGCAGGAGTCAGTTCTCTCTGTCACCATGTGGTTCCTAGGGAATTGAACTCCGATGGCCAAACTTGATCATGAAGACTGTATTTCAATAGAGTAGGCATGGCAGGAGCAGATGAATGGCCTTCTACAAGACAGTGCCCTGTTGTTCTTTTACTCAGAAACACTTTTTTCCTTATGTCAAGGGTAGGGGTGTATGAGTGAGTTGGGCTGTATTCCTGTGAATGAAGGCAGTTCTGATTGTTCAATTTCTGACCTCAGGGATTGTATTTATATGTTCCATTTTCCATTTTTTAAACCAATTCTGTTTGAAGAAATTTTAATGCAGGTGGTAGAATGGAAATTGCATGGCCAAAGCAGAGTAATTTGGGAACAGTATGCTAGTATGTCTCATACAATACTAGTTCCAGTTACATATTTTTTGATCATCCCTAAAAATATTTCAATGTCAGTAAAAATTAACTTCCCTCAAATGTCTCCCTGGGTCTAAGCATATGGCACTATGAGGAAGTTTCTGTGAAAGAACTATTTATTTTTTGTTTCTCAAAGATAATTGTTCAGCCAGGCACCTGTTAAAAAATAAATTAGACACTATGGCACTGTAATATTACTCTCCCTTATATCTCAATTACTTTCTCTGTAAAACACAGGAGATTACACAGAAATGTTCTATTTGCAGATTGTGTTTTTTGGAGGTGGTCTGTTTAGGCTATTTTAACATAATAATAGAAGTGCTAATTGCTGTTGTGGCCTCAAAGGTGAAATATTACCTCAAGTTCAGTGGCTTGAGTTTTTTCCCTCCATCTTTATCTAAGACTTAGGTCAAATTGCCTAAAGCTAAATATGACAACAAAATACTATTTTGCATTTTAGCCACTATCAGGAAGAGAGCATGGAGTCCACTGGGAGGAAAGCCATGTAAATGTTCTCCCAAGCTGTCCATCACATGTACAAAGTGACTGTTAAGAAACAACTGATATTTTCAAGAGAATAAATGTGTTCTTAGAATTTCTGTCCTGTTTTGTTTTATCATTCAAAAGTTGTTTTAAGTATTTGAATGATTAAAAAATTGTTTTTCTATATTTTTATTTTCTTTGTTAATCTGTGAGATATATCTTTCCCTTTAACCACAGAAAATATACTATGTGTGTTAGTTACTCTTTAGCAAAGTAACTTCAAATATAGTACCAGAGAGGAGTTTAGCAGTTTAATACGTCTTCCACAATTGTATTAGCAAAATAGGCAGATACCTAAATTTTGTCTCAACTATATCTTATGTCATCTAGCTGCTTTGAGAATAACTGCAGTAATATTGTGTCAAAGAGAACATTTGGAATCAGGTGATTATTTTGGAATAGTAGCCCATACATATGAACAATAATTAAGAAATTCTGTACCTTTTATTATTTTATCTTTGATATATTTGTTAAACATATGTGTTTTTGTGTGCTAAAGATGAGGAGTATGTGCTTATGAGCACAAATGTCTGAGGAGGTCCTCAGACTCCCTGAGCTTGAGGTTCGGGTGCTTAGGAGCTTACATGGGGGCTAGGATCTCAATTCTGGTATCTGGTAGAGCAGTACACCCTCTTAACTGCCAATCCAGCTCTCTAGCATCTTAGCCTTATATTCTGTTTCACATTGCAGCTTGATTGCTGGGATAGTGAAGTTCCTCAGCAATTTGATTCTGCTCAGTATCACAGTGCAAGTCATTTTACCCCCTTTTCACGTTGCTCTGTCTTGGCCCTGTAAACAAGGAGCTAATAAATTTGGTAGATTTAATTAGAACACATTTTTTTTTCAGATGTTAGAATTGAATTCATCTGAGAGGAATATGGAATGCTATGGATCTGTAAATTCAAAAACTTAACTATCAAAACTGTCAACATTTTTCTGAAATAAATAAGTTTTTTGAAAACGACACCTAGAAAATATTACCTTTCTTGGTGTCCATCAACTAACCCAATGAAACTAGTACTCACCTGTTAGTATGTTTGCTTGGTTAAAAAAAAAAAAAAAAAAAAAAAAAAAAGCTGTTCTGTCTGGCCATGCTTCTCTGAATGTGCCATGTTTCTGTTAGAGCTAAAGATGACGTAAATTTCTCCTTAAATCAATGCTACTCTAGCTCCTAATGTACATTCTTTTTTATTAATAATTACAGTTATTCTGAACAAACCAACAGTTCCCTAATCAATTAACCTACTCTTTAACCATCTATGCATATTTCAAGTGATCTTTTACCCTTTATGACCTGTTGACTGTACCTAATTATGACTCATCTTTTCTCTAGAGAAGCTATGGGTACCATTTTGACCCCTAAAATACAAATTACTCTATAGCCTCACTGTTTTTTACTTCAGGAGAACATGGATGGAAAGCAAGCTCTTACTTCTGACTTACATTATGATTTCTTTCTGGTCTTTCAGAAATGTAGCTCTTACCTGAACCAGCAGGTCATAGCATAATATACCCATGTTGGAGATGAGTTGTTCTATGGGTAACCACAATGACCCATGAACCACAAAGCCTAATGCCTTCTCCATCCTGTTTTAGAAAAAGGTTGTCAGATAATAGTATAGAATGTGAGATCCTGTTAACATGTAGAAGATTACGAATAGATCCATATCTATTGCCATGCACAAAACTCAAGTCCAAGTGGATCAAAGGCCTCAACATAAATACACTTACACTGAATGTACTGGCACAGGAGACCATTTCCTTAATATAATACCAGTAGCACCCACACTGAGAGCAAGAATTAAGAAATGTGACCTCTTGAAACTGGGAAGCTTCTATAAGGCAAAGGACACGGTAAATAAGAGAAAACGACAGTCTACACAATGGGGAAAGATCTTCACCAACCCCACATCTGACAGGGGGGCTGATATCCAAAATATATAAAAACTTGAGACCAACAGCTGTGGAGCTTCCATGGTACTGGACTATACCCTCTGCATAAATGAGTTAATTGTGTAGCTCGATCTGCTTAAGGGGCCCTCCTGGCAGTACGATCAGGATCCATCCCTGGTGCAAGAGCTGTCCTTTTGCAGCTCACTACCTATGGTGTGACACCTTGCACAGCCTTGATGCAGGGGGAGGGGTTTGGACCTGCCTCTACTCAATGTACCAGGTTTTACTGGCTCCCCATGTAAGATCTTGCCTTGCTGGAGGAGGGAATGGGGTTGATTTGGTGGGGGAAGTCATGAGGAGTTGGAGTAGGTAGGAGGGAGGAGAGTGGGATCTGTGATTGGTTTGTAAAATGAATTTAAAAATTCCTTAATAATAAAAAAAATATGGGATCCTCTCTTTTTTCACCCTGGAAAACACGATGCAATTTGAGATAAACAAGCAATGACAACAACATCCAATACTAAGAAATAAAACGTTTATATTATCAGTAATGTAGGTTACAATACATGCAAGCATTATGATATCAAAGTCTTAAGGAATATCTTTGCAGAAAAGTGTTGAAAACTCAGAAAACATTTGTGTGTGTGTGTGTGTGTGTGTATGTGTGTGTGTGTGTATGTGTGTGTGACTATATATATAATATATATATATATATATATAATATATATAATGTTCTTTGAAATAAAAATGCTTACATGTATTGGAAGAAAGCAGAACAATATTCAGTTTTTATCAGCAGAATACTTCAGTCTAGTTCACTGAACACCACTCTTCTGAAGTCACATCATTTCTGAAATTCTGAACCACTGGCTCCTGGTAGTGACCTCCAGACCATTTTTTGACTCAGCTGTAATGAGGGCCAAGAAAGATCCCAACTCATTTCACCTATCAACTCCATCTTGCCTACAGTTGACTGAATAGCTAGACTCTGTGTTAATCCATATTCTCTTTGAATCATTGCTTCATAAGTTTATCCAAAAATAAGATACAAAACAAATATGTTGAAAATTAAATGTATGCTAATTAAATGTATACAATATTTTTATTGAGATGATCTTTGAAGAATGGGAGGGATTTTGATAGGTAAAAATCAATATAGGAGTAATATTTTAAACATGTGCAATCATTTGAACAGAAATCTTTAGGTTTGATACAAAATGTATTTGAAAAATGTAAATATTTCCAACTTTAGAAAGCTTCTAATATGCATGTGAAAATTATGGAAACATTGATTTTAGTTGTGATGTGAACTGTATGAATATGATAATGATTGGCAAAGCAGTAAAGAACTTCTGAATTACTTGGGGAAGTAGAAGAGTATGATCATTACTGTTCATTATAAATAATCACAATTTTTACAGTGATATATACATATGGAGTGTGGGCCAAAATGCTCAGTGGAAAATTAAAGAGAATTTGGAACTTTATATTAAATTTATTTGTTATCTTCAGTATTAAAATAATGATCTTTTTAATGATTAGCATGGGAATGGCTAAGACACAGAATTTGGGCGGTATAAAACAAAGTCCA